TTTGCCTACTGTGAATAAAGAGTTTCGAATCCGTAACATGATTGAAAATCACATGTCAACTGAATAATCATAACCAGGATTCTATTCAACTACTTCACATAATTCAATTCAAAAGTCTTGAGCTCGTAATATGATTGAAGATCACAAGTCAACTGAATGATTATAAACAGTATTCTGTTCAACTATCTTCCTTATTCGAAACCAAAGATCTCGAATTCGTAATATGATTGAAGGTTACATACCGAACGAATGAATATCAACAGGACTCCGTTCAACAATTTTGCCTACTACAAATCAAAGATTTGGATGCTATAACATGATCTTAGATCGCGTGTGGAATACATGATTCCAAAACAAACCAGGCTTCTCTTCAACTATTTTCCTCGCTTTGAAGCAGAGGCCTTGATCTAATAAGATCACCAAAGATCACACAGAAAATGAGTGAGAATGATAAGCAACGTTCTGTTCAACTATTTTGCTTATTGTGGATCGAAAGTTTCAAGCTTGCAACATGACCGAAGATCACCTTGGTAGGGAATGCTTATTATTGATAATAATCTTCAATTATTTTGCGTGGTCTGAATCAAAGATTTCGAATTCTTAACATAATTGGAATTTATATGTGAAATGCATGATCATAACCAAGGTTCTGTTCAACTACTTCACACAGTCCGAATAAAAAGTTTTCAGGTCATCACATGATCGAAGCTCGTATAATAAATGAGTGATTATGATAACTGATCTGCTCAATAATTTTGCTTACTTTGAAGGAAAGATTTGGATCTGACAACATGCTTCTATGTAACAGAGCAACTAAATGATATGTAACAGGATTCCATTAAGCTCTTTTGCTTGCTACAAATCAAAAATTTTGAGCTCGTAAGATGATTGAAGATCACCTAGCAAGTAACTGACTCCTAGTAGATTTCTGCTCAACTATTTTTCTTACAAGCAATTAAAGATTTCGACATCGCAACATGATTGAAAAACACATTGCAAATGAATGATTATAATGATGATTGTCATCAACTATTTCGGTGACTTTCAATGAAAGATTTCAACGGTGTTACATGATCAAAGATCATATGGCAAATGAGTGGTCATAACGACCAAGAGGATTCTGTTTAACTATTGTGCTTACTTTACATTAAAAGTTTTGAGCTATAACTATGATTGGAGATCATGTGGCAAATTAATGATTGTGAACAGGGTTGGTTCTGTTTAACAACTGTGCTTACTCTATATTAAAAATTTCGATCTCGTGAAATTATAGAAGATCTCATAGAAAACGAGTGACACAATAAATGTTATGAAAATAGAAATATATTTAAGAAAAAGCTAATGGCGAAGTATTACATAAGAACATAGTATTCTTCTGTTGATCATTGCTAATTTCTTTTGGTTTCTTATTATGCTATTGGTTAAAATGATCAAGATGAATTCATAGAGGAAAGATGATAATGATATACTTTCCATTTTCTTCTCAGTCAAACTTTCGATTGATAATAGTAATCAATCCTATATAGTTTATGAAACGGAAAGTTAAATAATTCATTTCTTCTAGTTCTTCATTGAAGTATTAATAAATGATTAAGGAAATATTATTCAAAGATTAAAATTACACTTTTCTTGTATTCCGTAGGAAAGTATATAGTTTTTTATAAGTTCATTAGATTTTTCTTTAAGAATTATGAAAGTCTAGTTGGATTTAGATATATAATATTGTTTGATAAAAGAACGTTAATCTAATTTTCATAAATACTTCTTCAAAATTGTTCTCTTTCTTCTGCTTAGCAATCCTAATTCCGACATGAATATTGAAAAAAAACATACATTTATTATTGTAGTTTTATTTTTATAGAAAACTATACAATCAGTGATATAATCCCATTGGATTTGGTTTGAATTTGAAATTGAAATTGTCAAAATCAATGAATTTCTATGCATTATAAATTAATGATTTGCTTAAATGTCAAAAGAAATTAATAATAGAAATATATTCCAAACTAATTTGTCGACTGTAAGTTTAAAGTTTTCCAATTCATGTTCGGTGCTTTTTTTTTAAAATATTCTTATCCATTTTGTGTCGTGTTGTTGTCATCGATATTTGTATTCTCTGTATAATTGAGATTGAAAATAAGAATTTATTTTAAATTTCACACTTGCGATATACAAAATAACCATGCCGATATAAATATTTCTTCTAATTTCAAGAATCGTTTGAAAGAGAATGACTACATCTGCCGTTTTACAATTTTCTTTTTATGTGTCGAGAAAAGGCACTTAGAGAATATCAATGTGTTATTAAATTACTGACAGTTATGAAAAAAAAAATTTTTTTTTTCGTAAATATAAATATATTCTCTTTTAGAATGTGTAAACTTATTTAAACATAGCATAAAAGAAATATAATCATGTGAACTATAAATAAAACAATAGAGCCAAACAGTCTATTAAATAATAATTCCGACTCAGACAAGTTTGCTACGCAATTTAAATATGTTTGTCAATTATTTCGGTTTTATACAAGTATTATACTTGTTATTGTTGGTAGGAAACTATTTTATATTGATAAAATTGTTTTATTTAATTAATAATTATTTATTTAGGTATGATTGGTTCTTTACTTTCAATAAAAACTTTTTCATCAACAAAAATTCGACGAAATTCATCGAATGAATATTTAATAGCAAGTAAACGAATTTTGCATTTAAACTAATGAACAATATTGAGCCATAAATAATCATATAATGAAATTCTTAAAGTATCTCTTATCTGTACTTATTAAATGAACTGATTGATTTTCATCAAGGTTGAAGTGACAATTTTTTTTAAAATTAAATCATTTATTTTATTTTAATTTTTTTCTACCCTGTTTTCAATGGGGAAAAAGTGGGAAAAAGTTTCGAATAACATTAATTGAATCAGACCATTTGTTGGAAGTTAGTAAATTCTCTACTTTAGAACAATTGTCTCTTGCTTGTTGTGAGTCGTGAGCGACGATTGTTAACAATACTTGCTTATGAATAGCCAGTTCGGTTAGACAAGGAAGACGACTTCGACAAAGAAACTGTTCAGCATAATCCATATGAATGTCGAGTAGAATTAGTGCAGATAAATGACCAAATTCAAGATTATTTGTTGTGATCGTTTCTTTCTCCTGTTGTTCAAGTTTATTGAACACTTCGAGTGTCTTTAGATTGGGTAGAGCACGAGCGATACGTGCAAAAAAAAGATTTTCGAACGGTTTCGCATCATCGAAAAGTAATAACATGGTAACCATTGAGAACGTGTTATTCATATCGAATAGTGGAAATCGATTTGAAATGAAATCAAGACGATTGCCAATAAATGGAAGTGAATACAATTGACATTGACCGTAGTTATTATTGAAATAGTCGACTGTACAAATAACATCTTGTTGACATTTCATAATACTTCGACGAATTGTGCCAATTTCTACAGGAGAAGCGTTTTCTAATATTGAACGAATGTGGAAATTAAATTGACACAGATGAGGCATGTATGAAACAATGTCGTTCTCTAAATCAAATTCAGTAATAAAATGAGTGAGTCTAGTTGTTGTTATATCAATAGCTAATAATAATGTTAAACGTTCGACATTTAAGAGACGTTGTAGAAAAGAAACAATACATTCACTATAGTTAACAATATTATGATAGATTGTTACTGTCAATTGTTTCAAATTGGGGCATGAAATCTAGATAAGAAAATTTTAAAACAATTTGAAATTAAGAAATATTACTTACTGATGATATTTGAGATAATATCAGCATTCTGTACATAAACATCTACAATGCTAACAGCAAATGAACAGAGTTGCGAACCCAACTGAGTTAGTAAATGGACACAATCGCCAAATTTATTTAATGTTATTTGGATATGAGACAATTGTATTGATTGAGGGAAAAACAATCCATCCGGATTCATTACATCTGGTAAAATACAGTCATTATCAAGTTCCAACCATACAATAGAACGCATAAATGTTGAACAACGAAAAGTAGATATGATTCGATTATCAACGGACCCTTCAAGTCGAACAAATTGAGGTATAACACAAGAGAGAGATACACTGT